AATAGTGATATGATGGGAAATGTGTGGTTGAAAAAGAAGAAAAAAGTATTGATGTGATGAAAAATATTATTTTATTGAAAAATGTGTGGTTGAAAATGAGAATTGATTTACTGTAGAAAATGAGAATCTGTACCAAACAGGCTCTAAGACAAATATATTATACAAAGACACTTGGACACTTCCACTCTCACCTATTTTGTTTACAGAGACCACTCTCACACTTACTTGCTAGACTCTCTCTGTTTCTCTCTCTTGCACACTCTCTCCAATTCTCTGCACTTTCTCATACACACACTTTCTTCACACACATAAACACTACATACAACAATATATATAGACACAGGAATGTCGGTGAAATTGCCGACCCTCTTCTTCTGGAGAACTCTTCAATTGGTGGTGGCTGAGTATTTTAATTTGGATTCTAGATTATTCTCAAGCCTCCCAGAAGAAGAAGATTCAAGATATGTGCAGTAAAATATGAGATGGAAAAACCNCTTGGCTGCCATCTTGCTGACTGTGTAGGCGACTCATGAGATTGGAATCTTGCATCTTCAATAATGATTTCTTCAGGAACTAGCAGAATTAGCGCGTAAAGTTCTTGGGATCAAGAGAATGATAGGATTGACAGAGGCTTCATCTCTTGAGAGACGAGCAAATCAAATGTGCAATCTGTCAACTTTTCAATACCAGCACCATTGCCATGGGATTGATTGCTGGTGATGACAAGAAAAAGTCGGGGGATTCTCCGAAGAAGAGCTCATTTCTTAAGAATTTAAATTCTCCACCTTCATTCGCTGAAGGATGGTTCAAATTGCCTAGGCTTAAGAAGGTAAACCATAAAAATAAAGTTCCCGCTGAAGTTGATAATATTCGTTTCCAGATAGGAGGAGAAATTGTGTAGTATTACGTATTAAACATAACATAGCTGTGCAATACTATTACATAAGGTCATCGACTGCTTCCTGGGTTTCATGCTTGTTGAAATCAGTGTACACTGCAATTTTACGAGAATAATTCCATCGAAAAAAGCGGACAAATAATATTTGACTGATCTTATCCTATGCAAAATATCATCTCCGAATCTGGAACTGATCAATTAGTATATTTCTAGAATCGAGATTGTGTTCACCACAGAATGATCTTCCGCAAAAAGTTGTAGAAATATTCAGTAAGCTGTGCGTCTAATCTAATGCAAACCACTCATTAGATATCGAAGAAATTATAAGCATTTTCTTCAACATTTTTGAAAAGTTCTTATTTTTAAAATAATCAAAATTCAGACCACTTTACCTAAGACAACTAAGCTCAATTATTCGACTATACTTTCTAACCTCAGGGTGTAGCTTTATTTTGGTTAGATTAAACCACTTTATTAATCAGCACAAATTACTGGCTAATTGCCGAGCTTGGTAACGCAAGCTTGTGACCCAAGTGGGGGCACCAAGGTGTTTGGACATTGTTCAAGCCCAACTGGCTGGATTCAGGCTTGCAATTTGCTGGCTTGCCCATTCCAAGCAAGGAATTGGGCTAAGTGGTTCAAGCGAAGGCATGGGCTGCTTGGCTCTTAGAGTGGGGGATACTGCGTCAGGCTGGCTTCACAGAGCAGCGATAACCTCCCATTCTTTGCAGTGGAAGGATAACGGGCCGGTGCTTCCTGATCCATAAAAGTCAGATGGGCTTGTCCTAACTGGACATTCACTTTTTTCATTTTTACTTCTTTCCAAACTGTTAAAACAAGCTGCCAGAAATTTACTTGCTGGCAGAAACCTGACAATGTAAGAAACACGTTAAAATCCAGCAGATTTTATCTGGGTTCACAAGGTTAAATCAATGGAATTCACCTAAAAATCTGCACAATAATCCAAAATTGCCCATTTGAAAACATGTTCATGTTTGGCCCAGTACCCTTTTTTTAATATGGGAAGGAGTTATAAGAAGCAAGAAAAAAAATACCTATTTACTAGTTTTTGCAGACACTGCTGCCTATTTACTCTCTGAAGATTGACAAAAGATTTTCCTTCTACTTTTTAATTCAAAATTTAAATCTAAAAACTTTTAAAAAATAAAGATTTTATTTATCTATTATTTTACATGAATTAAAATTAAAAATGTTCATGCCTTTGATTTCTCTTTTCAGTTTATCTATTATTGTCAGTTCAATTATTGCTGATACATTTCGCTTTCATAGATGCCTAATCTATGTAGCTACTTTCCCAGTAGCTACTTTCCCAGTTCTAAAGCAGATGCAGCAATTTAGCATCTTGGAAGTACATTTCCTTCAGTCTCTGGTGTGCTATTCACTGATCTACTATTCAATTCATTTCAACATCATTCATGAGAAATATCTATAAAGATTTAGGGCATGTTCGATCCAGATTAAAATATGATTTTAATTTGAGTCAAAATCAAACAATCAATATTAATCACATCTTTCATAAGTCACACATTTCAAAAATTTCTATCACAATCTACTATAAATCTAATTTGATATTTTCGTGTTTAGTAATTAGAATTGGTCTTGTCGTTAATCCAACTAAATCATTCGATCATTATGTTGCTGATTAAACCGATAAATTAATTATTCAACCTACATTAGTTATTTGGTTGAAAAAAAAAACTTTACTTCAGCCAACAGTGTAACATGGAGGACCTAGTTTTCAAATCATTTTTCCAATAGCCTTATAAAAATGTTGAAAGAGCAAAAAAAGGGGGGGTGGGGGGGGGGGGTGGAGCCTCTATTTTCATTCACCATTTTCAATAAAATTTTAAAATTGCACAAAAACAAACAACATTAAAGTATTAGAGAGGAAAAGAAATCAAGGTTTAGGACTTCATCACCGCAATATTTGAACTTCTGGGACCCAGATGCAATTTACCCTAAATTAAATTTTCTTTTTTGCATATTTTAACATTGTCTTTTTGTTTTGAAAGGGTCGGAGCATATTGTAAAGAGAATTGTTATTCAGCAACACTAACTTAAGTGAGACTAACTTAAGATTGTGTTTGAATCAATTTTTGAAAAGAATAGAAATTTTGGAATAGTGATTTATGTGAGAATGTGTGGTGAAAAAGTGATGAAAATTTTTTTATTTGAGTGTAATATTATTTTATTTAGAGAATGTGTGGTTGAAATGAAGAATGAAAATAAGAAATTAATGGGTGTCAAACGGGAGTTAAGTGTCATTAGATGATAGGTACAATTAAATAAATTTTGTATAATTTTAGTATCACATAAACTGGTATTCTAATATCACTGATGTTAGATAGTATTATTCTATTTGTGCTGGTACAATTACTGTTTGTTGACATTGTGGGGGTATTTGACACCCATTTTAGTAGAAAAATGTGTTTTGAATAATGATTGATAGAAGAATGTGTGGTTAAAAAGTAAGGAGAATTTTTAGGTTTATGTGTAATATTATTTTATTGATAGAATGTGTGGTTGAAATGAAGAAAGAGAAAAAAAATGAGAATGAGAATGAGAAAAAAATAGGTGTCATTAATGATTGATGGAAGAATATGTGGTTAAAAAGTAAGAAGAATTTTTAGGTTTATGGGAATATTATTGATAGAAAGTGTGGTTGAAATGAAGAAAGAGAAAAAGAATGAGAATGAGAAAAAAAAAATGGGTGTCAAACAGATGCTGTGTGACAAGGCACATATTTTTACTATTGATTTTAACAACACTTAAAACAATCGTTGATCTCAATTTTAACACCTTACACAAAAGAAATATGTACATTTTGAACCATCTATCTATATAGAATTTTGCTCCAAGTACATGAGCAAAATTCACATGGGCCTGTCAGGCCACTCAAACTGGCGGGCCCCACATGTTTTAAAAAAGAACACCGCTACACTTACAGTGTTTAATTAGTGCTCTCCACACCGTAGAAGTGGTATTTTTCTTTAAAAAAAATACACCCCCATGTACAGTGAGTGGATAGCATCACTGATCTATATGTGTATATTAAAAGCAGCAATTGCGCGTGCATGATTGGCATGGTGCGTCTTGCAGCGTTCAATCAAAGCCCTGGAAAAAGACGTTTTAATGCAAAAATTTTGGCGGATCATTGACCGTATGCTCAATACACACAACCCGAGGGATTCAGTACTAGCCGACACCCTCTGATAAGACAAAGACTGGTCTAGTTCGGTTTGCCATGGTGGGTCCCCTCTCATGGTCTGCCTCTGCCATCATCTTTTAATCAAGTTAACAGTTTTGTGTCATTTTCTAACAAAATATTGAAATAATGATAATCTCTACTGTAGGTATTGAATTTTGTGTAGTTTTAAGATATTTGGATCATGACACACTACCATTAAAGGTATGCAGGAATTAGCTCAATCCCGTCCGTTCTTTCAAAATTCATTTTTAACTATATATTTTTTAATAAAATAATATTTTTATTATATAAATAATTTTTTCTTACTTTTTAATCATTATTTTCCATCATATCGCTATTTAAAATACATTCTTTCTTTAATAATATTCATCAAACACCTCGTTTTCAATGATACACATCAAGGCAATATTAAAACTGTCAATGATCCCTTAAAGAAATTTATAAATGATAAACCTCCTTTTCAATGATAAACCAACCCATTAGATCTAAAACCACTAGAAAACTGTCTCCAACAACATTTCTTAGCAAATGTCCATACTTTTCATATGTATACTTTATTCTTTCAAAAATCACATATACTCTATCCACCCCCACCCCATTCCACTTTGTAATCCTAATTCATTTCCTAACCAAACAAATACATTTCCAGCTTCTTCTCTACTTTGACGACGATCAACATCTTCTCATCCTCCCACGACAAGAGCAGCATTGCGCGCAGAAGTGCTGCTGCACAACGATGATGGGAGTGGTTTTTGTTGTACCTCTTGGGGATGATTTTTATTGTACATTTTACTCTCAGTAATCATCGTTACTTGTTGAAATTATTTTATGGTTGTTGGTTATTTGAAAGTGGTGGTGGTAGCGAGGTAAAGCGCGTTCAGTTGGTGCCGATGATTGTGGAATTGGGTGGGATGAAAAGTGTTAGTGACCAATTGTTTGAATGATTGTAATCGATAAATAATATGTTATCAATAAAAATAGGTAGTTTGTGATCAATGAATAATATGAGGCTTGAAAAATGTGTGATTGTGACTAAATTTGTAATTATGACTCACACTTGTGTCTTTGTAATTGTGATTTTATATGATTGGTAACTGCAATCAAAATTGTGCGCCATTATGACATTGACATATTATCAAGTGGTCATATTTGATTTTTGAAACTTTTCCACAAATTTCTTAATTTTGAAAGTGTTCTTAAAACATTTGTAATTATGTATTATTCCCTTAAAGAAATTTATAAATGAAGATGACATCGGCCAATTGCATGGGCAGGGGTAGATATGGGCTTTACTTTTATAAGGTAATTTTATTTTTATTAAAAAAAAAAGGAACAATACATTTCTAAGATATTTACTTTACATTATTTCAAAAATACAAACACAAGTTTCAAATTTCACAAATCAGGTTTTTTAATTGTTTTATTTATGAAATAATGAATTATTAAATAATTTATTATTAAATATTTAATTCTAATAAAATATAAT